AATATTGCTTTTCATTGCCAACTATTTTACAGGAATGTCTACAGTCTTTATTTTATTCATTTTTTCACTTTTTTTTTATATTAGCATGTTCTTGAGCATGGTGCTGTTGATGATAAATCACGTATCATCTCCCGTCTGAAAGGCCGAGTTCCAGCTCTTTCCGCACACAAGTTCGCCTCAAATGTAATGGAAAAAGCTATTGCCAATGCTAGTCCCAACGAACGAGTCAGTTTGATCAACGAAGTTCTCTATTCATCGGTATCTGTCGCTGTTAGTGGTGCTTGCGGTGGGGATCTGGCTGCTTCCTCTTGTTTGACCGATGCAAAAGTTGGCGGTCTGGGGACTGGTGATTCTGCGTCTGGTGCCCTTTCAAGCTCTGCAAGTGGAGTTAATTCCATCTGCACTAGCCAAACCCAGCAGCAGCAACCTCCTCTCGTAGATATGATGAAAGACCAATTTGCTAATTACGTAGTTCAGCGTATGCTCGAATTGGCCGATGGCCAGCAGCGTCGTGTTCTCATCAGCAGAATCCGACCAATGCAGGGCTTACTTCGCAAATTTAATTATGGCAAACATATCATTGCTAAACTAGAAAAGTACAGTAGCAGTAGCAGTGGAGGAGGAAACTGTGCTTCTGGTTCCCTCTCCAGCACCGCTAGCTCTACTTGTCTAAGTAGTGTTGTTGGAGCTTGTGGAACAGTCTCGTCTGGTCTTACTATCGCTCAATCACCTTCACTTTCATGTAGCCTTCCTGTTGTTTCCACTACTTCTCCTCTGACTTCTTCCAGTTATTCCTCTTCTTCCTCACCTACTTCACCGCCACTGGATGCCTTAGCTGGCCATGCAGAACATACGATAACCAAAGCCTGTCCTGCCTACTCTACTTTACTGTCTCGGGCATCTCTTGAAAGCGAAGCCAATCAGTCTATGGAACCTGGGCTCAGTGTCGGTTGGCAAACTCAAAATGGCAATAATGAAAACCACCAACATCGCGATAACAACTGTAGTCTACGTAGTATACCTAGCACTAACACAAACGAGGATGGAATTGTTACCACCACTTGTAATTGTCTAAATCTCCGTGTTGATTTAAACACAAACTCTTCTTAAACGTGTTAATATCATCGCTAAATGCATACTATTCTCAGTAGCCATATTTTTATCCAGATTACTCTACGCTTTATCTTTCACCTATTCTACTATTTTAAATTCTTTCTTTACTAACTCCTCAATCGCCATTTCATGCTATCTGTTAGTATGTCATGATACATGACATCTCTCCTTTACTTCGCACTCTAAGATAGCATTCGGCGACCTAACTCGATGCTGTCCAAAGTATTTTGCTTCAAAACCAATGAATACGTAATTGCATCTACCTGGACTAGAAGTAACTAAATTTTCATTTATTTGCTAATTAGTTTACTTCATTTAAGTTATATTTTCTCATGTGTCCATTTGCTCTTGAACTTTAGATCATTTCATTACTCTTGATATCTCTGGCACACGAGCATCAGTTATAAGCTAAATTCCGGTGTTTCCTTAATGCAATGCTGTGTAATTCTGATTATGCTTTCGCAACCTTCTGAACATGCCTTATGCATCAGCTTAATATCTTGAGAATAGCTGAAATTGCGTACCAGCTTTATCCGGCTACTAAAGTTAAGACTATTGCGGAGTTCATTAGATCTGCCTGACCGCATGCTCTGGTTATCTTAACCACTATTTTTTCTGATGACGTCAACTCTGATGCCCGGGCCCATCCGATCAGCTGTGTTCCGTTTCAAGCTTACGATTTCCATTCGCGTATGCAGCGTAAACCATGAACTTAATGTTCTAACTCTGTAAAGTTGTTTACATATTTTCCTCTCACTGGAACCACTCCGGATAACCCAATAACAAAGATTCTCCTTTAGACCTTTTTGTAAGTGTCTAATGGCTGTACAAAAATTCCTCTTTTTTCACTAAAGTCTTATCCTCTGTCGATAAGTATGATATTCGCACCGCCGC